ATTAGGAAGCCTAATCCGAACTATCTAGTCCGTGCCGCGTGTAGCCGCGCGGCACGGGGTTCGCACTAGCCGGCTTTTAAAAAAGGCGGCGCCAGCTTTATGCTAATGAAGCCCGGGAAATTCAAATCCGGGGCTTCATTAGCAAGTTCGGTATGCATACATTACCCCCCTAGTTCGAACTAGGGGGGTAGTGTAGACATACCCCATGTCCCCTTTAAGAGTGAGTGCAGGGATAGGCTATGGGGAGCGGTTGAGCACTAAGACCGAGAGAAAGCCCTTGGTCAGCAGCCATTTTGTGCCGGCAGCCTTGCGGAACCAGGTAAGCATGGGGGCTGGGATCGGGGGGCTGGGGATGTTGGGAGCTGGGGGGGCCAGGCTCTGAGTGTTTGTAGGGGTGCCAGGTGCTCGGCATTTTTGCGTCCTGGCTGGGGAAAAAATCAGAAAATTCCAGACATTTTAGGTGTCTGGTATTCTCTGAATTTTTTTACCGGACTGTCCAGGTGAATACCGGACACCTGGCAACCCTATAAGGAAATATGAGCATGAGCCCTCATCTGTACCACTAGAGCCAGCCAGTGGTGTAGATGTGCTGACTACCTTGAGCCATAGTGTGTCTGCAGTCGCTATTTCGGCCAAGGTCAAATCTTAATTCAGTTTCTACTTTTTAGGGCCTAATTTTAGGCAATCAGCAATTGAGGCCTGTTTTAGAACAGAGTCCTTTGGCAGATGCTTACGTCAGCCAGGAAAGAAAACCCTTAGTTCCCTTCTGGCAGGATCTGGTTGTTTTGACTATGAAATGGAAGCTCTTTAAATAACTTATTTTAAAGCTAAGAATCTTTCAGCCACATCCAGGCTTACGTGAAAATATCATGTGGCACAAAGTTTGCTTTAACACCCCGCTGCTTAGAACAGAAGTGGGCCATAAGCAGCCTACAGGCTGGACATGGTTCACCATGGTTAGCCCCTGGCAGGCCGCCAGACACTTTATTTACCTGCATATCTACAGGCATGGCTGCTTGGAGCTGCCGTTGGCTGCCGTTAGCTGTTCCTGGCCAATGGGAGTTGCAGAAGTGCTGAGGGCCAGGCTACTGCTCCCTGCAGTTCCCACTGGCTGGGAACAGTGAACTGTGACCAAGAAGAGCCCTGAGTGGCTGACCAGTGGATGTGCAGGTAAAGTGTCCAGCAGCCTGCTTAGTCCCACCCCTAGCATAGAGGGTCATCTTACAAAGCCTTCTGAGTATAACTGAGTTCAGAACAAAATGACACCCCTCCGAGCGAGGTGGACTGCATTTTCTTTCCCTTAAGCATAGTTTTGTTGGTTTGAGATGAGGACAGATCCCGTCAAAGACATTCACAACAGCAGTTTGGAAGGAGGCTTCCAAAGCGTGTCGTACAAACCCAGAAAGTGCAATTTATTGTCAGATTTCAGAAATACAAAAAACCTCAACATCTCTGTTCCTCTGGACAGGCTCAGCAGCCAGACAGGAGACCATGACCAGCCCTGCTTCCCGTTGGCCCCCCCATTTTCCAGGCCTCCCCCACTTCCCAGCCAGCACCGCTCCCTTCCTGGCCGGTCCCTCACCCCATCCATGAAGCATGTCCGGTGTCCTCCCCTTTCCCCTGTTTTTCTTCTCTCAACAAATTTTTTTCCCAGTGGTTTTATTTTGGGGGAGAGGGTGTTTGGTATTTTTGTTTCAGCCATCTGGCAACCCTACATGTTGCTGACCCCGTAGCCAGAACTTCATTAGTGCACAACTCTGGGGTCTTAAAAGTTAGACAACTCCTGCTTTCCAGGGAAGCTGGCTTACTACACTTTTATGGTTGCACGACATAAGAGGGTTGACTTGGAGCAGTAGCAAAGCTACTTTTGCAGTCTAGGACGCAAGATGATCCTTTCATTGTGGACAAGGATACATTTGGTTCTCTCCTGCCTCCAGCATGCTTCTGATTCCAGTCCTAGAAGGCAGGAGGCTTGCTTTTTAGGTTTTCGTCAATAGCACTGAGTTGTGCCATCACAGAGGAGTGAGGTGCATAAAAGAACGTGAGTGTGCCTTGCCGTAGGCTAAGTGCTTTACCTACCATAACACTTAGCTCTGGACTGGCCATGAGTTTTACCAGCCTTGCGAGAATCCCAGTCTCCCTCACCACCTGGATGTGATCATTGGACCCATCAGACCGGTAGGACACAGCCCAGCGGGCATCAGAGAGGCTGTCCTTATCTTTGTTTTGCAGGAGGCGAACGAGCACTGGCAGGATCTCCTTCACAGCCTCCAGGGGAGGATATGGGTTCTTGTTCCTGCAGAGGTTTGACAGCGTCCACGTGATATTTCACAGGAAACCAACCTGAAACACAAGGGAGGATGTTCTCATACAGGACTGAATGCTTGCAAAGCCAAGGCCAGGGAAAGGAAGCACTAGAAATGGTGAATTTGCCCTATTTAATATCATTTCCTCAGGTATATACACCTTGGAGTCTGTATTTTAACTCCAACACATCTGATGAAGTGGGTTTTACCCACGAAAGCTTATGATTCTATACAGATGTGGACCCCAGCTTGCCTGGATCCAGCCCAAGGCTCAGGGCACTCCTCAGCATTGGGGAGCCCAGCTGGTGCTCTAGACCCCACACTGCCCTACTGTGGGGCTCTAGTGTGTGAGGGGAATGTGAGAAGTGTTTGTCTCCTCAGTAAGGATATGTCTACACTGCAGAGTTTTTCCAGAAAAACTACACTTCCATCCACACTGCTATTGCATTCTTTTGACAAAGTCGAAAGAACAGAGGGATTTTTCTGACAGCGGTAAACCTCTTTCTACAAGGAAGAAGCCTTTTTCCAAAAAAAAAAACACCTTTTCTGGAAAAAGGCATATGTGGACACGGAAGAGAGTGTTTTCTCAAAAGAAGAGGCCTCCAGGAAAAAGCACAGGTGCCCTGGTGGCCACTCCATCCACAATAATCACAACTGAAATGCAAGATAGTGTCCACATTAATTGGACACTATCTTTCAAAAAAGCAGATTGCTTTTTCGTTGCGCTTTTGTTCTGTGGACACTCTTTTGAAAAAAGTATTTTTGGAAGATCTCTTCCAGAAAAACTTCTTCTGAAAGAAGCTTGCAGTCTAGAAGTAGCCTAAGTGACCACATCAGCGAGGGGTTTTGTGGTTTTTATGGCTTCTCACTTGTTTATGCCCCCCCAACTGATTTTTCTGTGGGTCAGTGACCCCCCCTCCCCAAAAAAGATTCCCCACCCCTGCTCTATAGAAGACAAGAGTGTAACACTGTTAGGGTCTTTTTTCCTCAGGAGTTAGAGGGGAACAGCAAAGATAATGTAAGGAATCCTACAAAACCAGTGACATATTCTTGTGACGTTTAAGGCAAGGAGAGAGGGAGAAGAGGTAAGAAGGGAGGACAGTTAATAGCAGGCCTTTCAGGTGGGGAGGGAGAGCAAGTCCAAGGCAGCAAGTTACATTGGCGCTTTAACAGCACTGCAAGCCAGGCTACAGTGCCGGGAGCTGCACTCCTGGTGCGGCTAGCTACTCCCCTGGAGGAGGTGGTTTACTTAGAGCAGCTGGTGCCATGACCACACTGCCACAACTGCACTTTACATATCCAACTGTAGACAAAGGCCAAGATGCTCTGTGGAAAATGGTGATGTTGGGCTGGGCCTAGTGACGTGCATGAGGCCTAGGGCAGGATATCTGTAGGGCACTGATGTGCTACATTGTCCTTTCCTTTGGGGACTGAGTCAAGAATTCATCTCTCCACTTTCAGTGGTGAGTAACTGTCAGAACTAGATAGAGTGTTGGCCAAGTGGAGAGGTTTAAAAAGACGACCCAGACTAGAAAAGCTCCTTAGGAAAGAGGCTTGCAGTCTAGACACTTTAAATATCCAACTGTAGAAAATGGTGATGTTGGGCTGGGCCTAGTGACGTGCATGAGGCCTAGGGCAGGATATCTGTAGGGCACTGATGTGCTACATTGTCCTTTCCTTTGGGGACTGAGTCAAGAATTCATCTCTCCACTTTCAGTGGCGAATAACTGTCAGAACTAGATAGAGTGTTGGCCAAGTGGAGAGGTTTAAAAAGACGACCCAGACTAGAAAAGCTCCTTAGATCTAGGTTCAGCTTGGTGCTTCCAGACAGTCAAATAAGCATCCGACAGGTGAAAGTTGTTAGATATTTCTATCCAGTGGGAGCTTTCAGTTAGCCAATCATAGTACAGGACAAGATATCCTTTTCCTGCCCCTCTTCCCCAATAGTTTTATCCCACAAAGAGCCCATCTGACCTTTGACACAAACAGGTTAACATTTGGCTTTGTTACAAGTGATTAGAAATCACAGTTCAGCTATTAGTGGAGTGATAAACAGCCACTAATTCAGGGAGTTTGAATACTTACGGGAGTAGAAGGTGTCACCAGAGCCAACAGAGGAGGAATCACATTGTTGTGGATAAGGGAGTCTCTGTACAGACATTAGACAGGATCACAAAGAAAAAACAGTTTCTTGCCATTTCAACCAGAAAGGACACTGTCTCAATGACTTGATTACCTGCATCCTGCTTCAAAGGCCTTTTAAGACTACACTTGAAAGAGAATCCTCTGAACTGTCATTCATGCTTAAATTCGACACTTTACACCTAAGTTTGAATAAAGACGCTAATTATCTTACCCATTACAAAGATAGCTTCCCCAATTATCACCTCTAATATCATTAGCTCACAGACATTTACCTCCCCCCCCCATCTCCCTTCTGTTCTGAAATTTGATTTGTCCTTTTCATATGTGTTCATTTTTTTTAATTGTATCCTTTGGTATATGTGGTTGTGACAATTTTCTTCCACTATTTGATCTGAGGAAGAGGGTCTGGCCCATGAAAGCTCATCACCTAATAAACCATCTTGTTAGTCTTTAAAGAGCTACATAGTCCTGTTTTTTGTTTCAGCTA